CCTAATGCTTACTGCCTTATCTTATTGCTGCCTGTGCTCTGTGCTCTCCCTGGACTGCAAGCCCTGGCAGGGCAGGGGCCTGTCTGCCTCACTCACTGATGTAGCTCCTACCTAGCACAGTGCCAGCATCACCTAAAAATGTGATGAATGGAAGCCCAGCACCACAGTCAGTCTACTCCAAACCCAGAACTACTCACCCTTCCAGAAATCTTGAAATAACATTCCTGAGGTTTTCTCTTTTTCCTGCTTTGCAGATGGCACCAGTGGCTTTTTAACCCTCTTTGAAATGACATTCATTAATTTACTATTATTGAGCACATCCTTGATTCCTATACAGAAAAATCATGACAGGAAACCCTCCTTGTTACTCAGCAGCACCTATTCACGGCAGCGAATATGATCCTCTTGCCTCAGCCTCCCAAGTAGTTGGGACTACAAGGACACACCCAGCTAATTTTTCTATTTTTTTTGAGAGATGATCTTGAACTCCTGGCCTCAAGTGATCCTCCTGCCTTGGCCTCCCAAAGTGCTGGGATTACAGGTTTTAGCCACCACACTCAGCTGACAGTTGGCTCTTAGCCCCAGCCCAAAGAAAGAAATTCACCCTTTGCAAATTGAGAGCAGGTGAGTGTGACCTCACCTAAAATTTCTCATTCAGAACACATCTCAGAATTATAATAAAAGAATCACATGTTAACAGCCTAACATCTCCCTCTCTCGTGGCTGGACATGGTGTTTCATGGTCTTCCTAATGAAAGACCTTCTATAGAAACTGGACATAAGCCCACTGTGGGGGCAGAACAGGGACTAGTGGGCCTAGAATTAACCGAAAGTCCCAGAACACCATAGGGAACCTACCTTTTCCTTCTTCTGATCTCTAGTATCAATTTGTCAGCCTGAGCTTTGACTCCATCAGTGATCACCCTTAATGTCTGCCCTGGTCATACTGACAGGACAGTAGAGTTTTGGAATCCCCTGCTCACAGTTCTTAAGCTCTTGGGAGAAAGTCTGATGCTCTTTTTATCTCCACCTCAATCCTAGGTACTCAGTAGGAGCACAGCAAAGACTGATTGCAGATGGGTCCTCAATCCTTCCAGAGTCCTGACTTTTCAGCCTATGCACTCTGATACCCTGGGGAAGTGACTTCACCTCTTTGAACCTCCTCCTCCTCATCTGTACAATGGGAATATAATAAGACATTCTTGAGAAGATGAAACTAGACAACGGAGACCACAGTCATCCTGCTTCCTGTCCTGCTTTCTATTTCTCTGTAGCACTGATCACCATGGATCATATTATATATTTTACTTACTGATTTTATTTTATTTTTCTCCTTTCACTTGGATATCTATTTTGTTCATCTCTGTATTCCCAGCCTTTAGAACAAAACTTGGCCCATGGTAGGTTCTCAGTAAATATTTGTTGAATAAAATAAATGGTTGGTTGTAAAATGATGACTGTTTGAGTGCCTGACATTGGGCAGATATTATTAGTTAATTTACCATTGTGATTCAGAGCTCATTCTCTTTGGATTCCCAACTATGGTCTGATTGTGGGGAAAAAAAAAGAAAAAGGAAAGAACTCAGTCCCTGGAATCTAACAGAAAGTAGTAAAATTGGGGTGGTGGAAATTTCACATAATTAATAGGAGATACAGGTTATGGGGTGTGACTGAGAAACCTGTCTGTACCATTTACTAGCTATACCACCTGTGGCTTAGGTTGTTTATCTGTCAAACCCATGTGAAGATAGACAAGTATGATATGAGCATGGACAAGACAGTAAATGTAAAGCATTTAGCCGAGTACCTGGCATATAATAAGTGCTCAATAAACATTGGACCTCATTACTCATTCTAGTACTCCGACTAGAGGGGAACTCTGACACAACAGTTGCTAAGCACTTAAAATATGTCATGGTCCAGTGAGCTCATATATGTTTATTGGCCTGAGATCTGTGAACTCTGAGGGAAGGGACCATGTCTACACCGTCATGATCTTAGCCCCAGTAGGTGCTAATTAATGTTAAAACATGCTGGAAAATTAAATACTGAACTTGAAGATGAGTTAGAACTTAGACTAGCTATTAGAGTAATAACACCATTCACCTGTTGTGTGCCAGACACAGTGTTGGGTGTGGGAGATAGGGCAGGAACTTAAACAAATAATGGTCACTATTTTTAGGGACTTAGACCTTGATGGGAGGACTGATTTTAGTCTAATAGCTGTATAACATGGCAATTGACAAGCACCACAAAGGAGAGATGTAAGATGCTATGAGACCCTTAATATGAAGGGAGGGAGGGTTGACCTTGTCTGGGTTGGGAAGGAAGTGAGAGGCTTTAGTGAACTATGACACCACTGCACTCCTACAGGAACAATAGAGTGAGACTCCTGACTCCCAAAAAAAAAAAAGCTTATTCAGAACCACTTTATTGGAAAGGCAGTCCAGGGGAAGGCAGAGTAAGGAAGCAAAGGGATGACTCAGGGAAAGAGGGAAATCATGATGAAGGTACTGGTGGGATCTTAGGAAAGAGCGGGGGAAGAACTTATATCTACTGGCTCCTGCTCAAAGCTTTGCTCCAGGTGTGAAAACTCTGCTACTTCAGGATTACACAAGTTGAGTATCTACAAGGTCCCTCAGTATCTGATACCTCAGCCACACAGAGAAGTGCCAGCCAGAGATCAGTCCATGTTCAGTCCCACATGGACTTGAACACTATAGCAGAAGTCAGGGGAGCTCAACCAGAGAGGGGAGGCTGAGAGGATCTGAAGAGGCCTGTGAAGAGTCCATTGTGAGGCAGAATACTACACAGCAGGGAAGATGGATCTCTAACTACAGACATCCACACAAACTATAAAAACAAATTGTCAAACTAAAAGGCAAGTTGCATGAGTATGCTTAGTTCCTTTGAGCTGCTATAACAAAATACTGTACACTGGGTAATTTATATCAATAGAAATTTATTGCTTAAACCATGTAGAGACTGGGAAGGTCAAGGGCAAATTTAGCCTCTGGTGAAGGCTCAGTTGATTTCAAAAGTAGCACCATGTTGCTCTGTCTTCACAAGGCAGAAGGGGGCTAGTTCCTCCCCTCAGGCCTCTTTTCTAAGGTCATTAATCTTTTTTGTTTGTTTGTTTGAGACAGAGCCTCAAGCTATCCCCCTGGGTAGAGTGCCATAACATCACAGCTCACAGCAACCTCCAACTCCTGGGCTCAAGCGAGTCTCCTGCCTCTGCCTCCCAAGTAGCTGGGACCACAGGAGCCTGCCACAAGGCCTGGCTATTTTTTGGTAGCAGCCATCATTATTGTTTGGCGGGCCCGGGCTGGATTTGAACCCGCCACCTTAGGTGTATGTGGCTGGCGCCTTAGCCACTTGAGCCACAGGCACCGAGCCAGGTCATTAATCTTTTCATGATGGCAGAACCTTCATGACTTCATCAAAGTCCAAAGGCCCAAACTCTCAATATTATCACACTGGCTATCAGGCTCCAACACATGAATTTTGTGCTGATGCCAACATTCGGACCATGGCATAGGTTTATAGAAAGTTCAAAAACAGGCCAAAGTAAAATGGCAACTATGAGTGGTGATAGATGTGTTAATTGATGCTGTCATGGGCATCAGTACACAATGTATATATACTCGTATATCAAACCATTACAGTGTACAGCTTGAATGTATATGAAGGCTGTATCCAGACATGTAATATCAAAAATAGTATTAACAGTGGCTGGATACTTTCTAGAGAGCCCTCATACCCTTTTGATTTGTAAATTAAATATTTGTAAAGTAAAAAGAGAAGAAACAAATGAATGGTTCAAAACAAAACAAAAAGAACAAGCCAAAGTAAACAATATATGTAAAAAGGCAATGGTCTGGACACAGAGGTACATGCTTATAGTCCCAGCCACTCAGGAGGCTACCCCAAGAGGATCCCTTGGAACCAGAAATTAAAAGCTGCTATATGCTATGATCATGCCTGTGAACAGCCACTGCACTCCTACCTGGGCAACAAACGCTGTCTACTTGGATTGTTTTGAGATCTCATTGCAAAAACAACAAAAACTGGCTCCGCACCTATAACTCAGTAGCTAGGGCACCAGCAACATACACCACAGCTGGCAGGTTCAAACCTAGCCTGGGGCTGCCAAACAATGACAACTACAACAACAACAACAAAAAATAGCCGGGCATTGTGGCAGGTGCCTGTAGTCCCAGCTACTTGGGAGACTGGGGCAAGAGAATCACTTGAGCCCAAGGGTTTGAGGTTGCTGAGAGATGTGACACCACAGCACTCTACCTAGGGTGACACTGGATACTCAGTCTCTATAAAACAAACCTGTGAGCCTCAAGACTAACCTGTGCAAGAGCGAAACACTGTCTCTACTAAAAACAGAAAGATTAGCTGGATGTTTCAGTGGGTACATCCAGTCCCAGCTGCTAAGGAGGCTGAGGCAGGAGGGTTGCTTGAATCCAGGAATTTGAGGTTGCAGTGAGCTAAGCTGATGCCATGGCACTCTTGCTCTGGTAACAGCGCAAAAAATACAAAAATTAGCCAGGTGCAGTAGCATGCACTTATATAGTCCCAGCTACTTGGGAGGTTGAGGCAAGATAATTGCCTAAGCCCAGGAGTTGGAGGTTGCTGTGAGCTGTGATGCCACTGCACTCTACCAAGGACGATAAAATGAGACTCTCTCTAAAAAAAATAAATAGGGTGGCACTTGTGGCTCAGTGGGTAGGATGCCAGCCCCATATACGGAGGGTGGTGTGTTCAAACCTGGCCCCAGCCAAAGTGTAACAAAAAAATAGCCAGGCGTTGTGGCGGGCACCTGTAGTCCCAGCTACTCCAGAGGCTGAGGCAAGAGAATCTCTTAAACTCAAGAGTTTGAGGTTGCTGTGAGATGTGACACCATAGCAGTCTACAGAGGGTAACAAAGTGAGACTGTCTCAAAAAACGAAAGAAACCAGTGACATTGGTTTTTAGTGTTTTGTTGCTGTTCTAACATGGAACACATCATGAATTGGCTTGTCAATCATGTGCAGTGACTATACTAATCACCTCTGTACCAGTCCAATTTTAAAATAGGTGCTGCCAAAGTGAGCACTGTTGTTTTTTTTATAACTGTGACAAAATATATGTAAAATTTGATTTTTTAACCTTTTTTTTTTGAGACAGAGCCTCAAGCTGTCCCCCTAAGTAGAGTGCCGTGGTATCACAGCTCACAGCAACCTCCAACTCCTGGGCTCCAGTGAGTCTCCTGCCTCCGCTTCCCAAGTAGCTAGGACCACAGGTGCCTGCCACAGCACCTGGCTATTTTTTGGTTGCAGCCATCATTGTTTTGGTGGGCCCAGGCTGGATTTGAACCCACCACCTTAGGTATATGTGGCTGGTGCCTTAGCCACTTGAGCCACAGGCGCTGAGCCCATTTTTTTTTTTTTAAACAAAAATCTCACTCTGTTTCCCAGGCTTGAGTGCCATAGCATCGGCCTACCTCATAGCAACCTCAAACTCCTGGGCTCAAGAGATCCTCTTGGGACAGTGCCTGTGGCTCAGTGGGCAGGGCGTTGGCCCCATATACCAAAGATGGCAGGTTAAAATCCAGCCCTGGCCAAACTGCAACAACAACAACAACAAAAATAGCCAGGCGTTGTGGTAGGCACCTGTAGGCCTAGTTACTCAGGAGGCTGAGGCAACAGAATCGCCTAAGCCTAGAAGTTGGAGGTTGCTATGAGCTGTGTGACCATGGCACACTACCAAGGGCGATAAGGTGAGACTCTGTCTCTACAAAAAAAAAAAAAAGAGAGAGAGATCCTCTTGCCTTGGCCTCCCAAGTAGCTGGGACTACAGGTGCCCACAACCTCCTCAGCTACTTTTTCTATTTTTAGTAGCTATGGGATCTCATTCTTGCTCACGGGTCTCAAAACTCCTGAGCTCAGGCCATCCACCTGCCCCAGCCTCCCAGAGTGCAAGAATTACAGGTGTGCAGGTGTGAGCCACGGCACCCAGCCTTTTTTAACCATTTCTAAATAATATAGTCCTGTGGCATTAGTACACTCACATTGTTGTGCAACTATCACCACCATCACCTCTGGAACATTTTTATCATCCCAAAGGAAGTTTCCGGCCCCGTTAAACACTAACTACCCAAAATTCCCCTTCCCCTCATCCCTGGCAACCACCATTCTATTTTCCATCTCTATGATTTTTAGTATTCTAGGCACTTCATAAAAGTGGAATCATACCATATCTGTCCTTTTTAAAAAAAAATTTTTGTTTGTTTTGAGACAGAGTCTCATTATATCACCCTCAGTAGACTGCTATGGTGTCACAGCTCACAGTAACCTCAAACTCTTGGGCTTAAGAGATTCTCTTGCCTCAGCCTCCCAAGTACCTGGGACTATAGGCGTCTGCCACAACACGTGGCTATTTTTTTTTGTTGTAGTTGTCAATGTTCTTTAGCAGACCCCGGGCCGGGCTCAAACCAGCCAGCCTTGGTTTATGTGGCTGGTGCCCCATTCACTGAGCTACAGGTGCCAAGCCCTGTATTTGTCCTTTTACGTCTGACTTACTTTACCTAGCATAGTGTCATCAAAGCCCGTGTTAAAGGATATGTTAGAATTTCCTTTCTTTTTCAGGCTGAATAATATTCCATTGTATGCACAGACCATATTTTGTTTTTCCATTCATCCAATAATGGACATTAGGGTTGTGTTCACCTTTGTGGCTATTGTGAATAGTGCTGTTATGAAACTGGTAAAGTTTTCTTTCTTAAATTGATGGTGATAATAGTTTATTATTATTATTATTATTATTATTTATTTTTTACAATTTTTGGCCAGGGCTGGGTTTGAACCTGCCACCTCTGGCATATGGGGCCAGAGCCTTACTCCTTTGAGCCACAGGTGCCGCCCATATCTATTAAACCATATATGTTTATTTTACTTATTTTTCTTTATTGTGACAGAGTCTCACTTTGTCATCCTCAATAGAGTGCTGCAGCGTCACAGCTCACAGCAACCTCAAACTCTTGGGCTCAAGTGATTCTCTTACCTCAGCCTCCCAAGTAGCTGGGACTACAGGCACCCACCACAACACCCAGCTACTTCTTTGTTATTGTTGTCGTTGTCTTACAGGCCCAGGCTGCAGTACATGTGGCCAGCATCCTAACCACTAAGCTACAGGTGCCACCCTTACTTTATTTTTTTGGAGACAGGATCTCACTCTGTTTTCTGGCTAGAGTACAGCGAAGTCATCATAGCTGACAGCAATCTCAAACTCTAGGGCTTAAGCAATTCTCTTGCCTCAGTCTCCCAAGTAGCTGGGACTACAGGTGCCCGCCACAATGCCCAGCTATTTTTAGAGACAGGGTCTCACTCTGGCTCAGGCTGGTCTCAAACTCGTAAGCTCAAGCAATCCACTGCACCTGGCCTCATGCCTGGGTAATTTTTTTTTTTTTATACAGACAGGGTCTTACTATGTTGGTCTTCAACTCCTGGCCTTAAAATCCTCCTATCTCAGCCTCCCAAAGTTATGGGACCATAGGTGTAAGCCACTGAGCTCAGCCTATTACCTATTTTTTTTTTCCAGACAGTCTCATTATGTCGCCCTCAGTAGAGTGCCATGGTATCATAGCTCACAACAATCTCAAACTCCTGGGCTTAAACGATTCTCTTGCCTCAGCCTCCCAAGTAGCTGGGACCACAGGCACCCCATACAACGCCTGGCTGTTTTTCTGTTGCAGCTGTCATAATTGTTTAGCTGACCTGGGCTGGGGTTCGAACTCACCAGCCTGGGTATATATGGCCAGCACCCTACCCACTGAGGTACGGGCACCACCCTATTACCTGTTTTTTAAGCTTAGGACTGTATAATGTTCTTCTTTACTTTCATACTTTCCCACAGTGGTACAATCTTTTCTTTTTATTTAATTTATTTATTTTTGGTAGAGACAGAGTTTCACTTTATCGCCCTTGGTAAAATGCTGTGGCGGCATCACACTGCTCACAGCAACGTCCAACTCCTGGGCTTAGGCAATTGTCTTGCCTCAGCCTCCCAAGTAGCTGGGACTACAGGCGCCCGCCACAATGCCC